ACGGCCAGCCCTCAGCAGGCAGCCAGCGGGGGCAGCACCAAACCCTACCGACCCTGGGGGACTGAAGTTGGAGCCTTCTAAGTACCCCCTGTCTGTTCCCAGCCCGGCTCCCTCCAGTCCCTCCGCACACGTGCGCGTGCTCACACCCTCCGCGTGCCCACGCTCCCCCATACCCACACCTGCCTCCGGGACTTGGCGTGTCCTTGCTGCTCAGCCTGGCCGAGCGCCGCCTTCACCCAAAGGGCCTGAGAGGTGCCGGCAAACCCACCGAGGAGTGGCACAGTTATCCTCCTCACTGCAGGCGGCGGAGAGGACATGGGGTAACACCTTAATCTTCTTCTCAGTTTGTCTTGCTGGAGGCACCTTGAGGGAGCAGCAATGGCTTTCATAGCAGTGTGACCATATCGGCGTGTAGAGATTTCCTGGGAAACACATAGACATTAGAACTAATAATTCTCCAGCTATGCATCCTTATTTGGCAAAGAGGTGAGGGATTGCATCTACCAGGTCTCCCCAGGCTAGAAAAAGAGTTTGAGTTTCATAAGTGCCTGACATTGAAAAAATAATAAGTAAATATATATATGTGTGTGTTCTGCTAAAACAAATAACATTGCACAGGTATGGAAATGGTATGGGAGAGAGGCAGAATTCTGCATTCAACTTCAGAACTGGGATACCCCTCTTGAAGGTGAAAGGTTTTTTTAGCCAAAAGATTGCCGAGGAAGAATGTTCAGTTTAACAGGCCTAGTTCTTGCTTCCTTAGTTCACTTTCTTTGTACAGACTTGCCAAATTGTGACGTCTAGCATAGCATTGGCAAAAGCAATTATCTTATCAGTGCTGGGATTAATGAACGTTTCAGTGCTGCCTGTGAGCCCTGAGGCACCCGTTTTTATGGCTTAAACATGGTGCTAGCTCCTATCTGCACAAACAGTGAATTTGTTATGCACCCAGAAGTAACCACCTATTTAAAGCATGCACACTTGGATACAGTTGGTTCATGCAAATACATGAGACTCAGTGTTGTAAGAGTTCAACTTAACTTATTTAGATGTATTTGGACATTTACTTTTAGCCAGTTCTGTGCAAGATCTCTCTTCTTTTCACTATCAGCTTCTGGGAGAATGATCACTCTGGGTATGAATGAAGTTATGGTAGAGACAATTTTGAAATTGGCTATTAACATGCCAACATTGTAATGTGGGTTTGATTCCAAACCAAAATGAATGTATTAATGGGATGTGAGTAAATTATTTTGTCAATACCCAGACAACTAGTGCTGAAAAAAATGGTTTGCTTTCATTTTTTATTACAGTGACTTAAAATAACCTAAGTATTTTAATACATCCAGTCAAGAACTAGAGATTTCATGTAAAAAAAAAGAAAAGAAAATAAAAATAAAACACAGCATGTATTATATGCACTTGATTTCTCTGCTGTGTGGAGAAAGCAATAAGCATTGAGAATGTTAAACATTATGCAAAGTATACTTTAAAATATTTGTTTAAAAATACCTAGTCGGTCTTGTATGCATTACTTTGTTAACCTTTTTTCTATGCAAAAGTCTTTACATATCACTAATTAAATGAAGTCCTTTTTGACTGCATTTTATGGATGATTTGTTGCAGTTTTTGTTTGCTTTTGAGGAATACTCATGGACTCAGAGCTCTTTTCTGTCGCTAGTAACAAGCTGCCACTGGTAACTGGCTGCTCTGTGCACTTCTGCTCCCCTTGCTCATCCAGGCAGTCTGTCTTACAGTGTGCTCTCAAATTGGCAGGAAAAATCAGTCAGTAAAGCTGCATTGGTTTTCAGGCTTGTAAACTGGTTCTGCATTGATGGGACATAATCTGCCCATCCTGGGGAGCCCCCAAAGTCATTGGGGTTTCTAGGTTTGGCTTTCCTTCGGATCCCTACTAAGGGTTTAGAAGGTGAAAATTTTAACCCACTAACATCATTAAATATATTGAATGAGAGAAGGTAGTTTCTACTTCTGGTTCTGGTTTTCTAATTTGCCAGTTCTCACTGAGGCAAGGGTTTGTTATTGTTTCATGAGAGCTGCAAAACCCCTCTGGAAGGTGTGTGAAGCTCTGTTCATAAGGATGAGCACAAAGTCTTACATGTCTAAGTGCTGACAAGACTGAGGCGCAGAAACTGGGCAATCACCTTACATCCAGACAGATGCTTCACCTGTCATCCAAATGCATCCCCAGCTCGATGGCTCACTCCCTGTCATCCCTTTCTCCCAAGGCTTAAACCCATCCCTGCCTGAGCTGGCTGGTCTTCAGCACCTAGACGAGGAGGGGTTGTGATTTGCCTGAACAGCATTCTGTCCCATGGAGAAAATGGACCTAAGAGAGGGAAGAGGGTTTGCAACCCCCACACTGTGAATCAACCTTGATATTCTTTGCTTGTGGGGGAATTTGACATGTTTTTGATTAAGGAAAATTGCAGAAATGCTGTACTGCTGTACTGGCATGTTTAGCAGCGTACAGTTCAGGTACCGTTCACCTTCCATACATGCAGTTTCAAGAATAAAGAGGTCATTAATGAACTGCCAGGTAGATAAAAAGTGGCCTTATTTGCCTGAAAAATAGCAGGTTGCAGCCCTACTTGACTTTAAGCTGTTAACTATTAACCTGGCCTCTAAGAGCCTGGTAGGAGGTCTCCCATGCATGCATCACATTGAAAATGGGTATGCACTGACTTGGTTCCCCCTAAGGGCTTCAATCTTGATTCCCTTCAATCTTCAACATCCTGAAACACACACCATGGAGGGATATGTGCATCCTGTTTGTGCTTACTGCGGTTTTACTCTCACAAAACAGGCCAGATTCATGGATACTGAGTTGCTGATGTCTCCTCTATCACTTGTCATGTTGCCTTTTGGTTTCCTCTATTGCTTGCTGCCTTTTGGGGGGTTTTGGGGGCTTTTTTTTTTAATAGAGTCACCTAGAGGGACAAGGACATGAAGCAGGAGCTCATCCTTCATGCCTGCTTATTCCTAGCCTCTGTTGGGAATGTTACCTCTCTGAGAGAGGATGAAGATTTCCCAAGAAACAAATTAATCGAGAAGAAACATATTTCACATGTGCTGTTGGAAAGACATCAGAGGGTAATTTCTGATGGCTTTGGCTGTAGCTATGCTAACAAGTCAGAGCTGAAGGAGTCTAGCAATTTTTAAATGAGAGCAAGGGAAAGCTGTTTCCTTGGCATAAACAAGATCCAAAAGATAGGACTTGTGGCTGTGCACATGCAACCTTACTTCAGCCCTTTTCTATCTTTGTTCAATGATGAATTGACCCAGAGGAAGAATAAAGTTTGAAACAAACAATGTAGGACTAGATCATGGTACATAGCACAAGAAGGCAAATCAGTCTGCTTGTTCAACAGTAAGCTGTTGGTTTTGACTAACTTTTCAATGGGAGAGTTTGCAACCTTAAATTCCAGGTATCAAGAGGATCAAAGAAGGTTATGCAATTTCCTAGAATTTTTTCTTAAGAGGAAAACACTAAAAACCAATTCTGTCACTCAGCATTAGCAGGTTCGAAACCCTAGCCCTCAGCAGTGCAAATAAAAAGCACTTAGGCTGCTGAGAGAAGATTATTACCCTAGAGAGGAGACAAGCAATTGAGACACAGTGCTGCCTGTCCTCCCTTTGCTCTAATTGCAAGTGGAGGAAATCCGGCATTAGATATTGCCCCAGAAGAAAAACCAGCTACTGTGGCCTAGGGCTGAATACGTATATTCAAAGTAGAATAATCATCTCCTGGCTGTGACTACATCTGCCTGAACAACAGCCAGGAGGTGCCAGTTCATGCTGCTGTCTCCTTTGTGTGAGCTTTCAAAACTTTTCATTTGCAGCTATTTTGAAAGATGATATTTCAATCAGGATTCATGAGATAAGCCTGGGACATGGATATTGGCAAATACTTAGGGCTATTGTAATTGAGGATTTTCTTCTTTATAATAGGAAAGGGTCACAAGCATCTTTTAATCAGAAGATACAACATCAGAAAATACTACTGAAGTGTGAAGAGGACTGTTACCAGCCTCATTAGTAATCTGTTTCTAAAGGCACAGATAGCCTGAGATCACATATATAAGGAACCTGAGTGATTGACAGTCACTGCTAGTTTTGTCCAGCTTCAAGAAAAGAAGAAGAAATTGGTATTTGTTTGCAAGCTTTGTGTACCCAGCCTCATTTATGCGAGGTCACTGCATGAACCTGAGTTAACTTTACTCAACACTGATCTTTTCACTTGCACTGTTTCTCTGCTTCACTGTTTTACACAGCAGAGACTCGTGTGTAGAAGTTTCAAAAGGGATGACCACAGCAACACATCTGGCCATAACCAGAAATGATAACCAGAGGAGCACCAGGCAGGTGCTAGAAATGCTGGTGTCTCAACTTAAGCATAAACCAAACCACCCCTGATTTATAAATGAAACATTTTGACAGATAATTATCTGAAAATATGTGGGGGGTTTTTGTTTGTTTGGGTTTTGGTTTTTCCTGGTAATTGCTAGTACTGGAAGTTGTAAATACAATCACTTAGTCAGCATTCAGTTGCCTAAATATTTGCCATGTCAAAATCTGGGCTCCAACTATCCCTCTGGAACGTGCAAGTCTCCCTTGTGTTCTGTGTTACTTCTGCCAGTCCTACGCAGATGCCTGGGAAACCCAAGTTGCTTAAGTGGCACTAAATATGTATGGCCAGGTAACTGAATTTCTCCTTGTCTTGCATCATCCCTGGAGATACAGGATTTGAAGCTTAATAATATTTTCACATGTGATCTAATTTTTTTCAAAGAATCAGACTCCTCACCTGAAGAAACAACAAAACAGTATCAAAATAATTTGGTGATAATGTATTGTTATCATCTGTCAATCCTGTAAAACTAAGACCAGTCAACACCTCATTTGACACTCATTTCAGAAGTTCTCTTAAAGGTCTGACTGCAGCAGTGAAGGTGATTATTAGATGATATCAATATAATTTATTTTAAAGGGATATTTTTCTGCATTCATGGTGGAAGTGCAAAACTGGGATACATGAATTAGTGTTGTACCCTAGATATTCA